AAATACTTTAATAACATAGAACTATTGAGGCTCCGTGTATAAGTAATTTCCTATCCAGCCAGCGCGCACCACTCGAGCGATAAGGAGCTTCCAGGGAAATGAAAACTCTCTGGCTGATACATCTATGGGTGGGACGCAGAGTAAAAAATATTCTATTTGATATTAAGTATTGATTCCATTTCGATTTATTCGGTTGCAAAGTAAAAAATAATTATGATTTATAAATTATAACAAATGAATGGTTCTGTCCTACAATTCATTATTATTTTAATATTACTTTTAAATTTCATAAAAAGGGACATTTTATAATTCAAATCATTTATGAAAGATATCGTATGTTGAGTCTGGATATAGTGTTTTTTTGAAACATGTCGTTGTCGAGGCATTTCAGTTAAAATACACTCAGTTAAGGTGAATGTGTCTATCCAAAAAAAAAAAATATATTTTTGTTTTAAAAATATAAATATTAAGATGCCTGCGCCAAAGGATAAAGCGCCTGCCGTCGTTAATACAAAGTCACTTGATGTAAATATAATGGAAATTATCAGCAATCGGCACCAGGACCTGATATAGCCGAAGTGTTGCTATGGTTGCATTGAAATTTAAGAAGGAAGCAGAAAAAGCACATTAATCTAACGAAATGAAATCATCTACTTTACATTACTTCCGATCGTTAAAGAGAATTTGGAACCATTCAAGAAGAACTTTGTCATATAGGCTGGTACAAATCAAATAAAACAATTAAGATTCAGATAGACGATATAAACTTATTTCCAAAGTAAAGAATCTAAAACAATAGCTAATAAAACTTATCCCATAGAGACGTCTGTCTGTTATATATGTAAATATTTCAAAGAGCCACTAACTCAGTGAGTTTGAAATGTATATTTTAACAAAAATGAAGCCAGACATCAGCAGTGGCATGTTTACTAATCGAGAGTTTATTGCGTGGTTCTGCGACATTGAGGCAATAAAATAATTAGTGCCGCATCCGCGCTGACTCCCCACTCACAGATTATGACATGCAAACTCGCCGAAATAACTTTATTTCATGACAAAGACTACAGACTAGAAATACACAGAGCTATTTATATTCGTAAATTTTATATCGCTTAATAATTTCGCAGAATGCAACCATGCATTTATCTGTACTTGTTCCGATTTGCGCTGTGGGTTTTATAAAATTTTCTTTATGACACAAAACTAAATGGGTTTCTACGTTATTTTATATTTTATAACAACAATTTAGGTATGTTTTCTTAGAAAATGGTACATCGGAATTGAAAAAAGAATGTTTTTTTTTTATTTAAGTTAAAAAAGTTCTGTTTTTAATTGTTCTATACAATTTGCTTGTTGCTATTTGCCGTCTCGGAGACGCATATTAACGATGTCCTTAATTTAAATCCCTCGGATGTAGCACTGTTAAGTTAAATCCCGGATAAATTACTTAGCGGGCTCTTTTAAAGTGGATATAAGACGGTTGAACCGGGTGTAACCTGGCATCGTGACCCGGGTATCGCGCCCGCGGAATAAATCATGAACTCCGCTTTAACAGTGTATTATCGATGAACAGAAAAAAAAAGTGGATAACAACAGAGACATAACAACATCTCGTTTTATTGTTCGATGACATTCCATTTGTTGATTTGAAATATCGCTTAACGTAAACCAAATACCACGTAATGAATTAAACTTATCAATTTAGTTAAAGATTTTTTTCTGCAGAATTTAGGGGTTATAATTAAACAATATATAAATAGTATTAATTAAATTTATCAATTGTTATTGACGCTGAGGGGAAGTTATTCATAGTACAATTACTAATATTTGGTACAATCTTCAACAATATCTTAATAAATTGTATGAAATACGTATCTATTTTTGTATAAGAGATTCCACTTACAATTAAGGTTTCTGAACAAAATATTATACTTATATTATAAAGTATTGATTTGTGACTTCACTTCGTAAAGTTTACTCTTGACTTCGAGTTTATTCTCCTCTAGTATTGTAAATACAAGGAACCAATTTCATTTCAATTATAGATTATCACAATTGAAAGCTATTTGTAACAAGAGCATTGAAAATATAAAGTTACGTAACCGACTCGGTTTCATTGGAAAAATTATTATATATTTCGTTTCGTTCAGCTTAGAAATATTAACGAGATTGGTTCAAATAGATAGATCTTTACGAGATTAAGAACAGACCGCCCGCGCCCCGTTGGCAACGGATTTAACTGATTTGTTCATCGGAATTAAGATTAACATTCAGATCCTTATAAAATATAAATACACCCTTACATTGACAATATTATAAATGAATTAGTTTGAATAATCTTCTACTTTAACTATCTATTATAAAAATCGGAAAAATCACATACGTACATTTTATTTATTTTATTTTATTTATTTATTAACACCAACAAGACATACATTAACAAAAGCGAAAAATACATTATTGAACAATCAGTAATCATAAAATCAAAATGTTGTCTTAATTATAGGTGTTACACACATTTCAAAGAAAAAAGACACGTAACATGCAGATAAAATTACATTACAATAATTGCACAAAAGAAAATTAAAAAAAAAAAACTATGTAATAATCCTCAACATAAACATTAACATAAACATTAAAAGTAATTTATAGTGTATTTTAAAAAATAAATTTAAAATATTTATAATTTTGTACTTTCATATCATTAATAAATAATATAAAGAATAACAATATCCAATAAAATGAAATATAAAACAAATCAATTATTCAATTATACATATTATAAACAATATGAAAATTTATGAAAAAATATACATTGTCATATTATATTCCTGTCAATAATAATAAAATAAATAAAAGAAACTAAATATAAACTCTGTATCCAAGATAATAAAATACGTCCATCCCACTTTTATCCTGAAAGGAAGAAACGAGTGGCAGTAATTATTACATTACCGGAGCGTACAGTGCAGAACGTATTGAGACTTACCGAACAATAAAAATAGAAAACTACTATTAAACTTTATTATATTAAAACGGAAAAAACTTTAGATTTAGGTCACAATTTTCTTCAGCCTTTAAATCGATGCATCCTCCTGTCATGACTTGATTTCTCCAATGCATCTAAAATAAAAAACCAAGAAATAAGTAACAGTAATAGAAATAGAATTGCTTATTTTAGTTAGTATATTATTGAGTTGATTGTTTAGTGAACCCTATAATAGTGTTATGGTATAAAGGTTCATTAAATGCAATGAATCCCAGTAAACAATGCCACTGACCGAGCATTAATTACGTTCTGATATTACCGAGATTTGAAAGGAAAATATGACAAAGGTTGCTCGTTAAACTTAATGCTCGATTTTCGAATGCCCTATTTTAATAATTCGATTAAAAAGAGCTCTTTCCGCATCAATTAATTTCTTTTAGGAATTCATTTAACTAAATTTATTGAGTTACAAGAATACATTGAAGGTTTTCCGTGGAGAGGAATTGGCGATGAATAATAAGATTATCTGTCCGTCTTACCGCAGATACTGAAGAAATACATACCTTTTAAATCGGATATGTTCATAAAAATATTAGAAAATGTAATAGCTAACCGGTATTTAAGCAGGGTTATAACTTTAACTATGAAAGCAACTTTTATCCGCCATGTATGTACATATAGTCGTGTCCGCCCGGTTGTCCCCGTTATCTTTCCGCTACATTTGTCAAACTCGCTGAGGCGACAAAAATACGTCGCTTGTCCATTGACAGACCCCACCTACTCTCCCCTACCCTCCAATACTATCACACACTGTTATTCTAAGCCACTATTTGTTAAATTCCAAATCTGCTGAAACATAAATCATATACCAAACATGTAACAATGGTAATAGTAACATTTAAGACACGTACACTGAAAGTCAGCGTCCCCCTGTTTATATATTATGAAATAAAAATTCATTTAATAATTGTAATTCTACTTCTGTTAAAATTAATATCAACTTGATAACGTATTAAATCTAAGTAATATGTGTCATCGGCTTTAATTAAATCTAGTGAAGGCTCATATTTCGGCTATTACCCTTACAACTTATATAATTACCTCTATTAATATAACATAGTGATTAAAGTTCCAAAACTTGGTAACGCTGTTGAATATGTGGCTGATTTAATCTCGAGCCGTTAAACATTAATATATCATATGGGTTTTATTTGAATCTAACTACGAAAGTTACAACTTAGAATTTTCCTGCTATTAATTTTTATTTTCCTCATCGAACATTAAAACATTTCGTTGATAGTCGTGAGTGAAAATTGTTTTAGTAATTTTTATTGGACCGAAGTATTGAAATAAAGTTTTCTTATAGTATAATGGTATTACTAAGTATGAAAACGGATTACACTAAATAAATATAGACTCAAGTTACATTGTGTTCTTATTTTTCGCTACCATCTTTTAACGTATTGCATGGAGTTTTGTTAATTAAAATCATAACAAATATTAAACCATAACAATTATTTATAGTAATATAATTAATTTTATATTGACATATACATATGTAAGTATAATAGAAAAGCAATTTTGTTTTTTAATGACCTTTTTTCCTTTTTATTGTCCTCATCATCACATGACAGATGTTCTGTTTTATAACTGTTTTACTAATAATTAAAATAATTTAAATCTCCCAAGTACGCTGAGATTGTCTTTGTTTTAGAATAAATCATCTTATTTTTGAAATACCTATGTATATAATGTTTTAAGACACCCTGTTTGTAGCACCGCGTGTAGCAATTGTACATTTGAGTTAGGTGACGTGCTTAGAAACTAAATAGACTACATCCTAATGAGCAGGGAATTTAGATTATCTGTAATAAATACCGTAACAAACACACTAACAAGCTACAGTTATGATCCTATAATAATATTACAATGAAAAGATTGATTAAGTCAAAATCAACTCCGAGGCTAAATGACGTACATATACTGGCATATGAGACAGATTATCAATTGATTGATCGATCACCAACTATCAGGAATATTCATTACGGACAATATAGAACGTTATGAGTTTGGAAATATACAGAGGTTCACCATAATCTGGACATCAAAACAAATATGTTCTGGACAGAACACCTTGGAAGATCCAGCTCCATGGATACAGCTAGCGCATGAGAGAACTTTGGATTTTCAAGTGGATTATCTGCAAGGGAAAAAATTTAAAGGTAGTGATACGAAAATGAATAAAGTGATATATTAATAATAACCTAAAACCAAGTCCACTAATAAAGGGAATAAAAGTTGAGTGAATTTACTGGATTATGATCGATACATTTGCAGTTGGTCCATGACGTGGACTGATATCTTTTAACTGAATTAAAGCATGCACTGGAGCTCCGAATAAATTTTAGGCACGTCTCTTTACAAAACCACAGATAAACCAACCAAGACCAATCTGTATTCAAAGGTGAATCCGGTCAGAAATCCGATAGGCCTTCAACGTTCTATGATGACAATCGCATTCGGAAGACGACCACCAACCACAATCACCTGTAATGAAGGATACGACTAAATAAAGGCAATTAAAAATCTTTGTATATAAAATAAATTTATATTAATTACACTATTTATAACTCAAGAACGGCTTTACGAAGAAATAGCTTAGAACCACGAAAAGAACATAGGATACTTTTTATGCAATCGAGAAAAAATATATAACATCCAAAGTCTTCTTATTAACTGCCTTTAAGGATGAATAATTTTGAAAGTAACGCAGAGGAAGTTGCGGACAAGAACTAGTATACTAATAAAATGAGTTTCTGGCTGATGTCAGTTTAAAAATTAAAGATAACGAGCGAAAACTGTAGTACAATAATTTTTATTTTTAGGACTCGGTTATTAATAATATGGACTTTTGTTTTAGACAAATAGTTTACTCAACAAAGAAATAACACTTATATTTATTGCTTGTTAATACGATTGATAAACACAGAACAATACATACTACCGATAATGTGTGAATGAATATTGAGAAATGACTCAATCTTATCCAACTCACTTTTATGACTGATAAATAAAATTGTCAAGTCATCATTCTTTGACTTAATAATTTATGATTTAAATAGTTGTCCTATTAAAATTTTATTTTCATAATTTTGAGCACTTTGTTAACCTATTATAAAGGACTGTTATAATTTAATTTTTAATGCAATAATCCAGGAGCGGTTATTAAGGATAATAATCCACTTTCTGAGTGAATATATTTTTCTACTTGCATGTTGATTTATAAAACGCTTATAAATTTTTTATATTCTAAACAAATATATAGTTTCCGTGTTAATTCGAATATAATTTTTTATTGATATCTTCACTTACTATTATTATTAGTTAGATTAGAAAGATTAAAACAGATTGTACCTACCTACAATCATTATCACAAGTGCACTGAAGTGTGAAACGTTGAACAACTATGTTTAGACGTTTATTACCACATCATATTTATATACATAGAAATACATGTTAAACTTGACATAAAATCGTCTTAAATAAAAGTTCTGGGGAACAGTATTCATTTTTTAAGGTAAACATATAAATATTTTAAATTGTTAGTAGGTATATTCGAAAAATATTTTCCAACTTTTATAACTGGAACACATACTTCGTGACAGTTTTTTAAATTTGAAATAATATTTCACGGACAGAAAATATGTTTGCAGTTTTATTCACAATTTTTACTTTTCTTTGAGCTCTCGTTTCTTTCGGGTTCTTCTTTATATTTGAATCATTACAGATGCAGTGCACTGGATTTCTTTTCCTTCTTTGTTTATGTTATGTCGGGGCTTATAAGATTTTGGTGATAAGTCCAATGCCAGCTAGAAGTCATTCTATACTAACAGATGCTATTGTTAAACATCTATCCAATGCTGGACACGAGGTACGTATAAAACATATTATAATTTTAAAATTGTCTTAAATACTTCGGTGTACGACAGAAAAACTTCCCTATAAGTTTTTGATGGTCATCTTATCTTTATCTGTAAGACGTGTAGCGTTATCTAATTAAATCAGAGTTCCATGGAACTGTCCTTCGTCACCACTTTAGGAAACAATGGGATATTCAGAAATCATTATGTTTTAATAATTCCAGCGGTCATCAAAGATCAGTTTGTGTGATTGTTGCGTTTTATGAAGATTTTTCCTAGAAAAAACGTGAAGTTGAATAATCATAATTTTATTTTTTAGTTTGTTATCCGAACCGAGTAACTAATTATAAAAAAAATTAACCAATTGGTGTTTGTAATGTAATGCAACAATTATTTTGTTTCATGTGATCAATTTATTATAATGATGTCAATTTCAGATAACTTACGCAACAGTTTTCGTTCCTGAGAAACCTCTGCCAGGTGTCACCATTGTAGACGTCAGTGATAATTTAAAAATATTTGATCAAGGCACGTATTAATTTTATCATGCATGCATATAACCAAATCTTGTTTTTATAACTATAATTGAATGGACAGAAAATATAAAAGACTCATGAGTCTTATCTTTTAAAATATTACAGTACATGTATTATAAGTAAAGTAATACATAAACAGTTACATAAAAAGTGATTTCCATTTTACGAAGTTAGGCACTATGGCAAATAATAAAGAAAATGCAACCGAATTCTTTATAAACAATTTACTAGTAGAATATATTCGATCTTTAAGTAAGTTTCCCTAAGAGAGAATACAATTGAAGCTTGTAGTTATAACTTATTTATTTTGTTGCAACATTTTTAAACTTTCACTTATTATTTAATTTATTAATATTCTTTTATTAAGCAACATGTACATTTATCCATTTATTATATAAAAAAAATTACTCTAATTAATAATTATGTTTAAAAATAAATTACAGATGAGCCAATCAACATCAAAAAAGTATTAGATAAAACTGATGAGAACACTAGCATCGTCAGTATGTTATCTCTGATAATGGATTTAAGTAACAGAACGTTATCTAATCCAAACTTTCAGAAACTGCTGAGTAATAAGAATATATATTTTGATGTCATCATTATAGAATGGATGTTCTCTGAAGTGTATGCCGGGTAAGAACTTGCAGCCTTTGTTGGTATTGTTTAAAAAAATATGAGTATTTAAAACAAGTATGTAATCGTACATTTCCAGACTTTCCAATGTCTACAACTGCCCTTACGTCTGGTTCTCAACAGTGGAACCACATTGGATGATATTAGATTTAATAGATGAAGCTCCGAACCCGTCTTACAATGTAGATGTAATTTCTGATAGCGTCCCGCCGTTTACTTTTGTGCAACGTGTTAAGGAGCTATCTTCACAGGTTTTGGGCAGACTGTTACGTTATTAGTAAGTTAAATACTATATTTTTTATTTATGTTAACATCTTTTCAAATATTATTTGGTAAAAATAAAATTTGGTAGTACGTATTAGTTGCTTAGACATTTCTTTATCGGAATGGGAATTCTAAAATAATTTCCAAATCTTGGGTTACGAGTTTGATAAGGTAGGATTGATTGTTAAAAAAAAATATTCAACAGAAAATAAAACTATTATAGAAAAACCAAACAAGAAATAAATAAAAAAATAAACAATTCGATAAGCATTCAGGAAAGTTTAACCTCAGGACTTTGGCTTTAATAGTAAATGTATACTGACTGTAATCTCAAAAAGATGATATTTCTCTGTCCACAAAAAGGATGTTGATAATTACACCTTTATCTGGAGTCAAATGAAAGGACATCGTTGGAAAATTTAAGTCAACATTTTATTATAAATATACAATCTTTCATTTCCTAAACTTTTAATAAAAAAAAAATAGTATAGCACATTCAACACATGGCCTCTACTAAAATAATTAAACACTTCGTATTGATTGCAGGTTAACGGAAAAATGTTATTCATTTAGTAAATAAAATTATAATTTGATTTACAGTTACACATCATCTACGGAAAATCAACTTTATGAGGAATATATAATACCGCACATTAAGAGCCGAGGTGGTGAAGTTTCCTCTTTGGACACTTTAAAATATAATGCATCATTGGTGCTGAGTAATTCTCACGTGTCCCTGGGTCTGCCAATAAGACATCCGGTCAATTTGATCCCTATTGGAGGATACCATATCGATTCCAAAGTTAAACCTTTACCTCAGGTAACTTAATAATATATCTATTTTAGGTCAAATTATATTCATAATAATTTGAAAAATAAAATGTATTTATACAGTGTGAGGTGGTAGAGGCTAGCTGTGGTCACAAGATAGTACCACCCTCTAACACAAACTCAGTTCAACAGTTCATAATGTTTCATAGGATGAGTCAGAGATGTGGCTGGCTTGACATTCCCTTTTGTTCACTTTTTTCTCTCTATGAATTAACATTTGTTTTCAGTCCTGTATCTTACAAAGAAGTTCTGAGAGGTTGAGCGTGTTCCGTTCGCTTAAGGTCCAGATAGACCTGATGAAATGTTCTTCCACTAAGCGCCCGTAGCAAGGGAAACAGAATCTAGAGTCCAAAACCATTGGCATACATTATGCTTCCCCTCCCACCCTGTTAAACAATCTTCTAATTTAGCTGTGCTTATGACATGTGCTCTCGAAATGTCTTTAGTTTCAATACCCCTTTTCTCACCTTCATTCCATTGATAAAGTTCCGTCTTTGTGAAAAGCTTATCTTCGACCTCTCTCCAAGAAAGTGACATCTCAGATCTGACCAACTACAGGCCTGCAGAGATGACACATCTTTGCTCTCGAACACCATTACTTCTTATCGGTACAATTTTGGTTGATAGTATACCTCACTCATTAACAGACTAAAGTGATTGAGAGTAATCTTGAAGTTACGAATCATTAACTCCTCTCAAAGTCACCACCGGCTTTTGGAGTTATTCGGAAAATAATTTTTTTTTTTATTTTCAAAAAACTGTCGGTACTGAGTAGATTGAATGTGTCTAATTGATACACTTGGTTTTTATTATACATAGTACAGGTTCATCCTCAAGTGAACTATTATTCTCATCTCTGGTCCGCTGCTCCCCTAAACCAACTTTGTATATTTAACAACAGAGATATATAGATAACGCTAAATATTTGTCTTTTGGGTCTTTTATACGTCGAGTGTACAGATTTTTCTTCGATAAACAAAGCCAGCGAGTCATCAGCGTTTCTTTAATTGTAGATTTCTGACGTTGATAGTAACCATTCATCACCAGCTGAGCCTTTTGTTTATTTCACACCTTTTTAGCATAAAAAAAATGTGAATAGTAATGAGAAAACTTAATTATACTTAACATATTTCAATAGAATCTGCAATCAATAATGGACAATGCTTCACATGGAGTTATTTACTTTAGTATGGGGTCTAATTTAAGAAGTAAACATTTTCCGGATGAAATCAAACAATCTCTGCTGAAAATATTCGGAGAATTAAAACAAACTGTTCTTTGGAAGTTTGAAGAGGATCTTCCAAACCGGCCCAGCAATGTGCACATCTTGAAATGGGCACCACAACAGAGTATTTTAGGTAATATGCATCTGTTATACTTCTAATATTGAATTGATTTTATGAAATTACTAGAAGAGCCGGCGAACTTCGTATCGCTCTATAATCGAGAAATATCTGTTACGTTTTTTTATTTATATTTTTGGAGTTTACCTATTAAAGCCATAAATCTCCGTGTTTTGATTTTGACAGAATGATTGACATATTAGTTAGTTATCAAATCTAATGTCAAAAAAAGAGTTTGTATCAACAACTACTAATAAATTAAAAAATTAATTTAAAAAACATTGTCCAGCGGACAAAATTGTGAATCTAAACCATTCCCAGATCCCCTTGAACACACACAAAAAAATTCATCAAAATCGGTCCAGTCGTTTGAGAGAAGTTCAGTGACTTACACACTCACAGAAGAATTATTATATATATAAAGATAAGTATTTGCTACAGTGAAATCCTTTGTACTACTGCTACAAAAACTCAGATTATAATGAAAAGTCCAACACAGTCAAAGAAATGTATGTAAGATATTTAAAATATATTTTATTTTATTCCAGCACACAAAAACTGTAAACTATTTATAACACACGGCGGTCTTCTATCAACAACAGAAACGATCCATTTCGGCGTCCCCATCATCGGCATACCTGTCTTCGCCGATCAATACGTTAACGTTGATAGATCTGTGAAGAAAGGTTTCGCTAAAAGAGTCTATCTATCCTATACAATGGCTTCAGAACTGCATCAAGCTATAATAGACATCCTCGGGGATCCAAAGTAACAACTATAATAATTCTTTATGATTAACTACAATTATTAAAATGAATTTGCATAAAGTACTTGTTACAAGCTTTATTAAAGATTAAACTGTTAATTTCAGATACACGCAAAGAGTAAAGGAATTATCTTTGATTTACCACGATCGAATAGCGACTCCTGATAAAGAGTTAATACATTGGGTGGAACATGTGGTAAAGACTCGAGGTGCACCACATTTGCGGTCGTTAGCATTTTCGGTGAATTGGTATCAAAAGATCTATCTGGATCTAGTTCTAGTCATAATTTCAATATTCACGAGCGCATTTATTATTTTAAAGTACTGTTATAATCTTATTAAAATTAAAATGGCTAAGAAAATTAAAAAAAGTTAAATTTAAACTGATGAATTTGAATAAGAGAGAAATATTTCATAAATATTTGAATTAATTATATTTGCTATTGTTTGTGTGAAATTTAAATTGACCATCAAATTGCATACATTTGTTAATACCAAATAAAAGTGGTTATAATATAAAATATTATTAATACTTATTTCTGATTCCACTGTCTTCGAATATAAACCATGATAATGATTTCACAATAATATCGATACTTGGGATTTAGTTTTTATATGATGTCATAGTCTAAATGTTATAAATAGTATTGTGATAAGTTTTATCAGTCCCGTCTCCGATATATTATTTAAATCGATTATTATCTTTAAAATGGAAAACACTTCAGCGATATTATCAATAAAAAAATCGTTCATAGGTAGCGTAGAATTGTTTTGTAAATGCAGTAGTAACTTTACAGTCCAATGTGTACTTCGGTATCATTTAATGTCTTTTAATATTTTATTTTCTCATCAAAGACACAAAAATGATTTGTCATATGATTAAATCAAGATATTATTAATGCAGGCACCAATTTGATATCTGCAAAGAAATACATCTGCTCACATGTTAAATAACGAAATAGCTTTCACAAAAACATCGCCCAGTATCGGATGCCTTATTATTTATAAAACTGATTTGAAAACTACTGTGACTTATTTCTTAACTGCCATAGTTGACGGTCATTGTCAAGTCGTCTTACCTTTTATATAACATTTATATAATAAAATATTGTAAATTCTGTTTTATTTTTTATTTAACACTTAGACAGAGATAAAACGAAATTTGACTCATATAATTATTTATAGATTTTATCAGTATAACACTTTGTACGTGTATACATAATCTCGATACTTAAAGATAAGTCAATTTAAAATGATCTAATTTTACCACATTGTTTTCAAACTTTTTACATGTTATGTGTGTATAAAGGAACTTATTATAGATTTTATTATTAGTACACATTTCATTATATTTTAAATATTTATTTTCTATTATTATAACCAATAATATTGGTAATATTTTAAATATTGTAAATTCATTGATTATCACATTTGTATGTGGCTCCGTTAATTCCAATCTGTAGCTAAAAGCAGCAGTAATATTTTTTTAAGCACATTATATTTACAGATACAATGTAATTTTTATTCTAATAATTAATTATTAGATAAAGCCATGCTTAAGTCATTTGCATCCGTAGAAGCTACCCTTACAGCAATAATAGCTATATTATTTTTGAAATTTGAATACTGCCTGCTACCATTTCATTCAATGTACATCTAAGATTTCTTTCTGTCTCTCTAAAAACTACAAAACAATTTCAAATCTACACGGTAGTTAATACTGAACAATTAATTGTGTATAATTCGATAAACTATAAATTCTATAGGTAATTCTATTCTCTTCATTGAATTTAAGAAAAAAAAAGTGTAGGCAGCACGTATTAAAGAGTTATTTTAAAAAATATAAAATAACGAAAAAAACGTAAAGATTATTCCAAGAATAAAGTTAAAAATAAAATATCTATGCATCAATACAAATAATAATTACTAGTTTCTGAGGAATTGATTTTATACAAGTTTCCTTCAACGTATTTCCTATTCTGTAAATGACTTCCTTCACATATCCTGGGAGGTTATCGCTCAACTACGAATGCTTTCAATCGATTCTTGCGACTTTGTTGATGTACTTGAAGCTTGTTGATAACTGGAACATTCTTAATCATTTTCATGTTGCTCAAATTGTAAGTGCAAAGTTTTTGGACTTTCTTAAAAAGAGATAGGTCACGGGAAAGGGTGATAGACTAACACTCAATCGAGATACCGATCTGTGAGTATAAACAAATAAAAATATATAGATATTATTTGTCTTTTTTTTTGCTATTTTTAACACTAAACACGCTTTAAATTTCTACTTAAGTAATAAATAAAAAATGCAAAAAATAAGAACCAGTAGAGAGCTTTCAATATAAGAACAATATTTTTTCGACATAAGGAAAGTTAGGTATTTGGTTCATGATAGAATCAATAAAAAATTAAGAGGCAGTCGGACAATTCGACTACATTCGACGTGAAAACAAGTTAGTTATCAAAATTTTTAATTTTAAACAAATCATAATTTGAAAAATCCGTCTCTGCAAAAAAAACTTATTTTCCACAATATAGTTTTGTAGAAGCACAATAATAAACCGTAAACCTAATACAATTATTATTATAAAATTAAATTTGTACATCGTTAAAAGATTCGTGAAATCGGAAAGCGAAAGATTAATTTTAATAAAATGAAATGTAACGATAAAAGCATGAAGTGAATAGCGTGAAAAGTAATAGGATTAAAACAAATGCCATTTTATTGTTGGATTACGAGCCATTATGGAATTGTGACACGAAGAGCGACGAGCGAACACCAACGGGTGGGGAGGAGAGGACTCGCGGACAGGAGTATGTATGCTCTAACTTTATAATGAAACTTATCAAATGCATCCACTTACTTCTAAAATAACAATTAAGTTT